CTGCCTTAAAGTGTTAATCGCAGAGAATGGGGAAAGGCATGAGGGCTTGGAAAACATGCAGGAGACAAAATACCCCCAAATTTAGTATTAGCCACACACGATCTTTGAAATCTCTCAAGGACAGATAAGATACGGCTTCAGAAGGAACCCAGTGAAACTACGCCTTTACAACTTTAAAAATCAAAGTCTTTTACCCAAGTGTGATAAAGAATATCTCTTTCTCTATGTGGTAGGGTTTCAGACACTCTGGTCTCTGAATTTTAGACCCAAACTTTATGAGCTTGGGTCTTTGTGAGCTTCACGGCACTTTCGGAACCTCACAGCCTCTGACACCTGAGGAGATAAAAGCCCACCACAATCAACTGCATATGTATTTGGAACATTGCCTGAGCTACTGAGAGAAGGTTCTTCTGGTTCTCCAGCATCATGTCTCTATGTAGGTTTCTCTGAGAGGCATCCAGGAGCCACATCCATGGCTACATCCTTGAAGGCCACTGGTCCCTAAAATTGTAAGCACATTCTCCAGTCACCCATCACCAACACCTATGTCTCTAGGATGATGTACATGAGCCCTGAGAATAGAAGAGGGGCCCGAAACAAAATGAGGCCGGGTTTGGAGAACCCAAAGTGAAAATTTACTACATCATCCTCCTCTCCCTCCACACGGCCAACTCCCAGCACTGATTTTTTTTTTTTTTAACTGGGAACCACCACCTCCCCTACTGTCAGGAGATCCTCTGAGGTTGTTGAAGCCTTGGACCAAGTCATGGCCAAGCCCAGTTTGCAGCTTCACTTCCAATTACATGAGCTAACACAGCCCCCTTTCACCTGAAGTCAGCTTGTGTTGGGTTTTGTTATTTGCAACAAAATAGAAGTGCTAACCGACGCAGAAATTAGTCATCAGGACGACACCCTGAAATGTGCAGAGGCTTGAGTTTGGGGTCAGCAGCAACATCCCTGTCCCCGGCCGGAGAAAGGGAGGCCCTTGTCACGCAGCAGCAACCTTGCTAAGTTGTTGTTCGCTGTGTCTTGGGACTCAAATGCCATTGATTTCGTGTGGTCACTCAAATGAAGCTGCAATGAACCCCCTTGGAGTTCACCCAGCAATCCTCCTGAATCCCTAACAAGTCATCACGATATTTAAACATTTTCTTCTGAACATTTCAATGAAGTTTCTTCCAGTCATGGATTCCATTAGTTCATTGTTCATTTGCCCCACATCCTGTCTATACTTGATGTTGTCAGAATGTTTGTGCAGTGGGCACCTGATTTTCTTCTTCATTGCCCCATATTCTTTTTTTTTTTTTTGATAGTTTATTTTTTTTAATTTTTTTTTTTAATTTTTTGTTTATTGCAGTAACATTGGTTTATAACATTGTAAAAATTTCAGGTGTACATCATTGTACTTCTATTTCTGCATAGATTACATCATGTTCACCACCAAGGAGGGAGGAGGGGAGTTAAAGAGTACAGCTTTCAGACAGAGGTCAAACTAAAGTGACCATCAATTCTGTATAGAAGAAGTAAGGAACAGAGAAGGACTACTACAACACTGAGGAGAAAAAAAAAAAAAGTTAAAAAATGGCAGTAAGTACATACCTATCAATAGCTACTTTAAACGTCAATGGACTAAATGCTCCAATTAAAAGGCATAGGGTGGCTGACTGGATGAAAAAACAAGACCCATATATATGCTGCATACAAGAGACACACTTCAGACCTAAAGACACTCACAAACTGAAAGTGAAGGGATGGAAAAAGATACTCCACGCAAATGGCAATGAAAAGAAAGCTGCCCCATCTTCTTATTTCCCTTACCGACTGTTCTCAAATGTGTCATGATTCTTGGTTGTAAAGTATATATTTATTAAGGACTCAGTTGCTCATCACGGGTATATGGTAAAGGTTTGTTCTGTACTGTGTCAGTCTATACTGGAGCTTTTATTTCCTTCTTAAAAAGGACTGACAGAAAAACAAACCTTTTTGTTTTCATATTTAACATTGAAAGTATTCAAAAGAATTATTTATGACATCTGTGCAGAGTATGGAGAGTAACAATTAACAACAGGACTCTGTGTCTTTGTGTGTGTGTGTGTGTGTGTGAGGAAGATCAGCCATGTGCTAACATCTGCCAATCCTCTTCTTGTTTTGCTGAAGAAGACTGGCCCTGGGCTAAGATCTGTGCCCATCTTCCTCCACGTTATATGGGATGCCGCCACAGCATGTCTTGCCAAGCGGTGCATCAGTGTGTGCCCGGGATCCGAACCGGCGAACCCCGGGGCTGCCACAGCGGAGCATGTGCACTTAACTGCTTGAGCCACCGGGCCAGCCCTAGGCCTATCTGTCTTCACCCAGCTCACGGAAGAAGAGACCAAATACCCAAGGTCCTGTGTGCTCCACCCATTCCCTCTCCCTAGCCCGCCCGCCCGCAGAGGCAATGTGCAAAATATTCTCCTGCCCTTACTTTTGTAATTTGTAACCTTAGATGTCATTTTGAGTGTTTTTGAACTTCATAAAAGTGAAATTACACTGAATTTTCTGCTACTTGCTTCGTTCTGTCAACGTTACGTTTCCAGGATTCTCTCATGTAGATGTGCACGGCTGGATGTAGTTTTTGCATTTTCGTTTCCACATAGTCTCCCATTTATTAATTTACCACATTTTATTTCTCTGACATCGGTGGCTGGTGAATATTGGAGTGTTTTTGTTTTTGTTTTTTGCTATACAGACACTGCCACCATGGACGTTCCTCTTTACACACGTCTGCTGTTGCATGCACACAGATTTCTAGGGTGTGACAGCTTCAGCTTTTCTATTGGGCTGTCTCTTCCTCTTTGCTTCGTAGAGTCCTTTATATATCCTGGACACAATTCTCTGTCAACTCCATGTGTGCACTTCTCTTTTCCCAGTTTGTGGCTTGTCTTTTCACTTTCTTTATAGTGTCCTTTCATAAATACTGTAGATGTTACTTTTAATATAGTAGAATTTATCTCTTTTGCCTTTACATTAGCACTTTTTCTACCTAATTCAGATCACTTTCCCAAGGCCAAGTGTATGTATGAGGGAGACCAATCTTTCCAGAATCATTTATGTAAAGTGCTTCCTTTCCCAACATATCTGTACTGCCACCTCCACTCTCGAGTTCCTGTATGTGTGTGTGTAGGATAGTCCTAGATTTTCTATGAGTTCCCAGCGCAGCAATAGCACACTGTCTTGAAGAGTGCAGCCTGACAATACATCTCGATATCTAAGGGGGCAGTTGGCCTTGTAACTCTTCCTCAGGGCCCTTTGTTACACTATTTAATTTTGGAACTGGCTTGTCAGGTTAAAAAAAACTACTAGGATTTGACCTGGAAGCTCCTAATTCTGTAGATAATGCGAGGGGAACACATATTTTCATCCTATTGAGTCTTGCTGTTAATGAACATTGTATATCTCTCTCTCTCCATCTGTTATTTATCACCTGTCAGTTATTACTGAATGTCTTCCTGCCGGCTTTCATGTTTTTCTATACAAGGCCTTGCACATAAAAGTCCTTCTTTATTCCTAGATTGCTGTTACAAATATTAGCTTTTAAAAATTACGTTTGCTATTATAAAGCAATGCTGTCGAGTCTCATGTACAGACCTTAAGTCTGGCAACCTTGGGAAACTACAGTAGTGATTGTGATCATTTACCACATTCTTTTGCATTTTCTATATAGGTGATCATCTCAGATGTAAATTACAACATTGTTTCTTCATTTTTAGTTCTCAGCCCTTTTATTGTACTGTTTGTTCTTGCTGCGTGCTAAGCACCCCTCTATAACGTCCTCTCACCCAGGACATGCAGGAACCCCCCCGCTTAACCACTGGGAACTGCAGCTCCTTCTGAGACATTGGTATTTGGTTTCTGTCCCAGGAAGCAGAGGCCAGGCTGGTGACACCAGGAGATGGAGGGTGGGTCCCCCCACCAGTCATCACTTAGGTTGCCGCTTTCTCTTTCCCAGAGTCGTCTCTGTGGCCTTCCTGCTGGGAGTAAATCCAACCTTCCCAGAACATTTGAGGACACGAGGAAGACCCCGGTGCCCAGCTGGATTTCTGTGTCACAAAGAGAAATAATCCCTCGGGTTTGGGGACCCCTGTGTCTCTGTGTGGTGCTGACAGGCCCGAGCCCCAGTGATGAGGTGGGTGGGTCATCTTCTCAGGGGACAGGGGTCCCCATCAGCCTTGCTATTGAAAGTGTGCCCTACAGGCCAGTGAGATCAGCATCACCTGAGAGCTTGTTAGATGCAGACTCTCAGGTCCACCCCACACCTGCGGGGTCAGAATCTGCATCTTAACAGGATCTTCTGACTCTGAACAGGAGAAGGGGAGAGGCTGCTCCACGCCCACAATATGGGGTCTCAACCTGGCTGGGTATCCACAAACCTGGGCAGATGCTAAAGCAGCATTTCTAAGGTGTCACCTAGACATTCGCAATGTCTACAAAGTTCCACAGGTGATTCTGACACAGAGCAGGGGTGACATCCCTGTGACAAGAGTTCCTGGTGGGGCCCCCTGGGCTCTTCCTCTGAAAGGAATAGTCAAAGGAGATGAGAGAGAGGGAGGGTGACGCTGCACCCTGACCCAGAGCTGTGGGGTCAGCCTGGGACACGATGCGACAGACCTGTGTTTGTCCCAACAAAGGTGTGTGTGTGTGTGTGTGTGTGTGTGTGGTGGGGAATGACTGCTGAAGAAGGCAGAGGAGTCCGTAGTTCCCAGGAACAGAAACATAGATAGAAAGGAGAAAGAAAGAAGGGACAAGGCAGGCAGGAATGAGGGGAGGGAGGAGGAGGGTCCTGGGCAGAGACCCCACCCCCAGCCCACGTGGCCAGGTAAAGTGCTCCTGCCCAGGGTGGTGGCCCAGCACAGAGGGAGGAAGGACAGCAGAGCTAAAGCATCTGGACAGCAGTGCTTGTGAGCATTTCTGGAGCCCAAGCTCTTCTCACAGAGGGAGGGACAGAGAAGACAGCAGCCACCATGCAATCGCCCTCAGCCACTGCTCACAGAGGGTGTGTCCGCTGGCAGGGGCTCCTGCTGGCAGGTGAGAGGGGACCATTCCCTGAGGGTGGGCGGGAGGATGGGAGAACAGAGAGTGGCTGGGGTCTCCTGGGAGGATGGGGCTCTGAGAGAGGACAGAGGACTTCTTTTTGGACCTGAGGGGAGACAACATGGGAGCAGAGTAGGATGGGGGGAGAAGGGCTCAGCAACTGGAAAATTTCAAGATCTAGAAGTGGTGAGGGGCAGGAACATCTCAATTGTTGTACCCTTCCAAGTTAGTTATCACTGAGCAATCATTTTTGAAAATGGAGGATGATAATTTATTTGAGGATGACACCAGAACAAAACTGAACTAAAGACACTAAACATTGTCTTTACCCATCACACTTTAGAAATTGACAAATAAACAGCAGGACATGGAGGGCCCTGGGAGCACTCATTCACTCATCCACAGGTGTTTGCAGCCTGTTCCAGGCACTGGGGGTACAACTAGATCACACAAGTCCCTGCCCTCAGGAGCTCACATTCCATTGGGAGGAGGACAGACAAGCAAAGAGATCTAGAATGTGATGTCAGGGACTGACAAATGCCATGAAGGGAACAGAGCAGGGAAAGGTAAGACAGTGCAGACAGGATCTTTAGAGAGGGTGGTCAGGGAAGGCATCTCCCAAGGACGCCCCAGAGAGTGAGTGGAGCTCTGAGGGCAGTGAGGGAGTGAGCCGGTCAAACACCTGGGAAGAGTGTTGGGAACAGAGGAAATAACAGGTTCAGCAGGGCTGAAGTAATGGTGGTCGTGCTGCTGACCTTGACCAGTAGACACAGACACAAACACACACACACACACAAACACACACACACTGCAAGTCTAAGAGATGAAGAGACCTGCTCAGGACCCAGGGCCTCATCTTTCCTTCCCAATACATAGCTTGTCAAAGGAAATAATCAATAACCAATCTATAGATTAGAGAAATGTTAGAGGAGGTAGTGTGAGGACTAACCCAAAGGTGTTCTCTTCCTCAGGGAAGAAAGCACTCCAGGGAAGCGTGGGGCAGAGCGTGGTTATACACCACTTCAGAACAAAGATCATATATCCAGTATGACAGGAATACAATGTTTTTAAAGTCACAAGCAGATGCTCAGCACGTACACAGCAGGTCAACTTGTCCTTGGTGCTCTTGGAAGAAAGCTTATGGTCCAGAAGTACTGGGGCTGGAGTCAGGAAAGGGGACACTCACCCTGTCTTTAAAGATGCATTCTTTGCTTTGGGGAATGTTTGAAGTAGAGGTACAGTGTGCAGGCAGAGGGCCACAGTCAGGCTGCTCTGGGAAAAACAAGTTTTACTCTGAACCAGATTTAACCCAGAATGGCTTCCCCATAGACCTCAATCTGTGACAACTTCTCATTATTCTTATTATTTTCAACAAGGTCCAAACATTGATTGATCTCTTTCTCTTCCCTCCTAGTCTTGCTCTTAACCATTTGGAACCCGCCCACCACTGCCCAAATCACTGTCAAAGCAGTGCCGCCCAATGCTGTTGTTGGGGAGGATGTTCTATTCCTTGTCTCCGGCCTGAATCAGAATCTTTATAGCTATATCTGGTGCAAAGGGAGCGGAATACGCCGCAAAGATATAATTCTATCATATGGAGTAGATAGAGCAGAAATTACCCCAGGGCATAGATATGATGGTCGAGAGAAACTATACCCCAATGGATCCCTGCTGCTCCAGAACGTCACCCAGGAGGACACAGGATGCTACACCATAGAAGCCTTGCAGAGAAATATGAGAATTGATACAGGAACTGCACTGCTCTGTGTACACCGTGAGTGATTCCTCTCTGACCTCTGGGTGTTGGGTGGGGTGAATTCTCCTTCACACACACAGTACTGACAGGCCTGGACTGTGCCTACATCCCCCTCTGCATTCCATCCGTTGTTGGGATTTGAGCATTTGGTTCAGGACACACACAGTGGAGACAAACTTTAAAAGATTGGGTTTCTTTTCCTGGAATCCAGACCCTGCAGACATTCCCTGCAGAGAGAAGGACCAGATGTTGGGAGTAACTCAGCAGAAGGAGATCAGTCTCAGTCCAGGCCATTGGGACAAGCCCTGGGAACATGGTCCTGAGAAAGACCCTGCAGTGCTCCATCAGGGCCTGGCTGAGGGGCCGCCTGGGATATTAACAGAGAACCTCAGCTCAGGAAGCCCCTCCCAGGGCTGCTGACTCCAGTGACCCTGGGGAGCCTGTGCCAAGGTTGGGTTTTGGCCTGGTGGGCAGGGCTGAGTGGGAGCAAGGATTTCCTGGCTTCCTGAGTCCCCAGGCTTCTGAGCTGGTCACGAGCCAGGGCTCATCCCCAGGAGCTGCATCTGGGCAGGGGTGGAACTTGATCCTTCACGTGAGACTCAGCATGGAGAACACAGAGGTACACGGTCCCCAGGCCATTAACTGACTGCTCTGAGAGACTTAGGAGAATCCACAGGAAGGTCAGTGTCCCCAGGGGAAGCATAGAGGAGAGAAGATGCTGCTGGCAGCTTCTCATCCGCCAGGGATCATCCCTGGGGGCATGCTCTCTTGGAATCAAACAAGAACAGATACCATTCATATGGGCAGCTCCTTTCTGGCAAGATATAAGTCAGGTACCACGAATATTTAAAGGTTATTCACTGACAATCTGGCAGGATAGTATATTTATCCTATGTCATTGAGGAGAAATGAGGCAAAGGGAGATACAGTCACTGAACCAGGTTCCACAGACCATGAGCGGCAGACAGGAGGACTGTCTGTAGCCACAGCCCCATCCTCTCCTCCACCAGGGGCCTTATCAGGTGTCTGTGGACCCCTAGACCAAATTGTCAGTCCAGATCCTTTCTTCTTACGTGTCTCCAGCTCAGAAAGAGAGATCCTGGTCTGGGGAGTGAGAGCAAATGGAGAATTCATCACCATATACTCTAGAACTAAATTACCTGCATCAACAATCAGAGTCAGTGCAGGGAATGTCCAGGCCGCCCCCTCAGGTGGATGATCAACCTCCCTGCACTGGACTTGACATCATTCATTTGTTTTCTGATGTGTTGGGGTCACTCCCACTGTAATAGAAAGGAAAGACTTTGCCAACTCACTCCCTACTCTACCCCTGCAGCCAGCAGTGGGCCCGCATGTAACAAACTCTCAATTGCTTGTGATGGAGGAAGGAATGAATGGTGAATGAATGGATGAATGAATGATCCAAAATCTCTTCAGAGACTGGATGCAGCTTCCTTGGCCTTCTGGCCGTACAGGACAGGTTCTCTGCCCCTCCAGGGGCTCAGGCCCATAGCAGGTATTTTAGTGCTCTCTAGAGAAACATTCCTTCCCACAATTCATCTGAGGCCCTGAAATATTAGTCAAAATTCTCCCATATGGAAGAATTTTTAACTTCTCCTCAAATATCAGTCTCATAACCACCAAACACAGATGGTCCACAAGGGCCAGATTTGCAACCAGTCAGGCTGCCCCCTTTCCATCAGTCACCTCTTCTGCATTTGCATATGTCCACACCTGCCCTCAGCAGAGACACAAGAGACGTTAAAGACCAAGGGAGAGATTAGCTTCTGCTGCCAAAGCCAGGCAGCTCCTGCCTGTCCCCTCACTCTGTTCTGGATCATTCCTTGGACACCCTCTATCATTTATTGGGTCACTGGCCCATGTCAGTCACACTCACGCGGGAGGATCTAATCCACATATTTGCCCTGAGGCCTGAACACTCACCTGACTGCTCTGTTTGCTCCTGGTCCTCATGTCCCAGAATCACCATTACCCATCTCTAGGAGAACCTGCAACATGGTGCCTCAGAGAAAACACACCTCTCTGGGTGATGGAGGTGAGTGCAGTGGGCAGGAATCACCCCTGAGTGGCCAGGCAGTCAGCTGGACAGTGAAGAACCAGCAGAGGCATGGAGGGCAGTGTGGGAGAGTGATGGTAACACTGATCTCCAGCCTGTGTCTTTTTAAGACTTTAGCCTGCTAACATATTGACACTTGATAAAGTCTGTGCTTTCTCTCAGATGCAAAGCAGATGGCCTTATGTTCTCCGAACACTCAGATCCTCATGAATTTCTCTTCAGTTACACAAACCAGCCTTATTCTTTCAAGGACTCAGGTTGGCTGAGAGGTGAGGGATGCCAACTGTGAATGAATATTCCTGGCAGGAAACAGGCACCACACAGGGCAATGTTGTCTCTGTTCCCTGCACAGTGGAGTTACCCACACCTGTCATCACAAGCAACAGCTCCAGCCTCGTGGAGCATAAGGACCCTGTATTTGAATGTGAACCTGAGATTCAGGACACCACATTATGTGGTCCATCAACAGTCAGAGCCTGGAACTAATAGGTCATAAGGTATTCTGTGTACAATTTGTTGAATAATCGCCATACTATTTCCCATGGTGGACTGCACCATTTTAACTCCCTGCCAACAACGCACAAGTGTTCCAATTTCTGCCTATTTTCTCCAGCATTTGTTGTTTTCCGTTTTTTTGAACATAGTCATTCTAATAGATATCAGGGGGTATTTGATTATAGTTTTGATTTGCATTTCCCTAATGATTAGTGATGTTGAGCCTTTCTCAAATACTGATTGGTCCTTTGTAGCTCTTCTTTGGAGAAATGTCCTTTCGAGTGCTTTGCCCATTTTTCAATGATGTTATTTGTTTTTGTTCCTGTTGAGTTTAGGAGTTCTTTGTATATCCTCGATATTAACCCCTTATTGACATATAATTTACAAATAATTTTCTCCCATTCCATAGGTCACATTTCACTCCACTGATTGTGTTCTTCAATGAACTGAAATTATTTGGTTTGTCAAAGTCCAATTTATCTATTTTGTCTTTTTTTTTGCCTGTGTTCTTACTGTCATATTAAAGAAATCACTGCCAAATCCAATGTCATTAAGCCTTCTCCCTACATTTTCTTCAAAGAGTTATAGACTCTTAGGTCTTACCTCAAGATTTGATCCATTTTGAGTTAATTTTTGTATATGGTGGAAGGCAATGGTCTAACTTCATTCTTCTGCTTGTGGATATCCAGTTTCCCAACACCATTTGTTGAAAAGACTGTTCTTTCTCTGTTGAATGGTCTTGGCTCCCTTCTCAAAATCATCTGATAATATAATCGAGGCTTTATTTCTGGATCTCTATTGTATTCCATGATCTAGATCTGTCTTTCAGTCAGTGCCACATGATTTTAATTCTTCAGCTCTGCTGTAAGTTTTGAAATCAGAAAATGTGAGTCCTCCAATTTCGTTCTTCTTTTTAAAGACTGTTTTAACAATCTGGGGTCCCTTGAATTTTAAGCTGGATTTTTCTATTTCTGTAACAATTTCTTTGGGATTTTCATAAGGATTATATGGAATATGTAGATCATTTGGGGTATACTGGCATCTTAACAATATTCATTCTTACAATCTATGAACATGGATGTCCTTCCATTATTTGTGTCTTTACAATCTCTTTCAGAGTGTTTGGTAGTTTTCAGTGCACACATCTTTCACCTCCTTGGCTAAGTTTATTCCTAAGTATTTTCAACTGCTGATGTTATTGTAAATGGAATTGTTTTCTTAATTTATTTGGATTGTTCATTTTTATTCTATAAAAATGTAAGTGATTTTGAGTGTTGATTTTGTCTTCTGAAACTTTGATGAATTTCTTTATTAGTTATAACAGTTTTTTTGTTTGTGGGTGGAATCATTAGTGTTCTCTACATATAAGATTATGTCTTCTGCTAAAAGAGATACTTTTTCTTCTTTCTTTCCAATGTGGATGTCTTTTATTTCTTCTTCTTGCCTCGTTGTTCTGGCTAAGAACTGTCTACTGTGTTGACTAGAAGTGGTGGAAGCAGCATCTTTGTCTTGTTCATGATCACAGAGTCAAGTTTTCAGTGTTTCACCATTGAGTATGATGTTAGCTGTGAGCTTTTCATTTATGACCTTTGTCATATTGAGTAGTTTCCTCCTATTCCTAACACTGCCTGTCTTTTGATAAAACTGTAACCACATCTCTCTAGAGATTTCCTTCACTGTGATATTCAATCTACAGACCTGGAAATAAAAGTCCAGTTCAGAGTGAAAAATTCTTTAGATGAGAAGCTCTTCAGGTCCTAAGGTGGTGAGGATTGGGTGGGGCCATCCCCAATACATAATCAATTATTTCACAAGAAGTCAATGCCTTCCCACTTTCTGTAGTATTCCCTTGGCCCCAGAGATGGACAGAGCTGGCAAGCCTGCCTTCCCCAACACACACTGAAGAGCATCTAGGGAATGTGGCCTGTTCTTTTCTGAAGTCAAAGAAAGTTCTAGGAAAAAATCAATGAAAGTCCATGAGAGAGAAATTCCACTTGATCATGAGGTTGTAGGATATGCAGAGTGAGAAGAGGACTCTGGTGCTGATACTACAGAGATGTCCAGGACGACAGTTCCGGAGTCAACCTAGGGATAGCCGGAGATCAAAAGGGGTGGTGCAGCCCTCTCCTTACCAGATGGTCACCTGAACAAAGATGCTCATCCTTCTGCAGGGTTCAGAGCCATCCTCTGGGTTACCTTTACAGAGTGGCTATGATCTCTGAGGAAGGAGCATGGCCCCAGGCACCAGGCCGACTCTCAATCAGTCACCTCCTCTGTTTCTCCACAGCGCTGGTCTCAAAGCCCCCCATCAGAGTCCGCAGAAGACGTAGGGACCCCAGTGACAGAACATAAGGACCTTGTGGTCCTGACCTTCCTCACAAGTGACCCTGGCATCTCCTTCCAGTGATTCTTCAATGACCAGAGTCTGCAGCTCACAGAGATATTGAAGCTGTCCCAGGAAAACAGCACCCTCGCCAAAGACCCCATCAGGATGGAGGATGTTGGGGCTTAACAGCGTGAGGCCTCCAACGTGGTCAGTTCCAGCAAAAGTGACCTCCGCAGGCTCAACGTGAAATATGAGTCTGGCCCTCTGGCCCTCTTACCCTCCTCTGTGTTATTCAACTCTGAATAGATTTTTTTTCTTATCTGTAAAATGATGATCTGATGTACTTTTCAAGTAGAGTTGTGATAGTCAATGCTGAAGGTGGAAATTCCTTAGAAGACTTGCATTGAGTCAATAAATGCTCAGCAATGTGAACTGACATTGTCATTATTGTTGGCGTAAGGTCACATTCCACTCCAGTCCCCAGCTCCTGTTGGTCTCAGTTGCACCATCTCCCCAGTGGAAGGACGGGCAGTGGTTGTACAATGAGGGGTGGGAGCCCATGATAAGCTCTTAGGAATCTCAGTTCTATCCCTCCTCTGGGGGAGGTGTGGATGGCACCAGAACTGTGGCACAACAACAGGAATAGACAGGAGGTCATCCACGCGGGTATCAACACTGATCTTTCTCTCCCTCTCTGATTCCTCCCAAGGAATTCCTAAAGTCTTCTTGAGCATTCTTATTTCCATGGCAATATAGTTATTTGCGTAGGTTTAGTAAGACTCTATCCTCCTTGTTACTAGGATATAATTGGAAACATTGGTGGTACAACCACGGCTTTGACTCGATTGTCCTAGTTTAGAATGACGCCCATGGGCTCAGACATGACCCACACTTTAAGGAGCTAAGGTTGACTTGATGGTTATTTTGGGGATCCGGAGAAGAGAGGGCCTCACTCAAATCTCTACAGACTGCAGGTGAGTCCTGATGTCTAGGCTTCCTGACGTCAAGAGGCTGTTAAAAGTCCCATCTGAGCTTCATTAGGAAAACCTGCATCAGAGGAGAAACTGTGGTGAATGTGCAATCCTGCTGCACTTGTGTAAGTAATGAGGCCAAATCAAGTGAGAGCAACCTTGTTTTAAGATCAAGAACACTCTTCCTTGGAGATGATCTTTGTTCAAATGGAAAGTGACTCTTGGAGAAATGTTGTGTTTCCATGGAAAATTCCAGCAAGCAGAGCCTTCTGGTGCTCAGATTCTGGCCTCATTCACTGTCTCTTTGTTATTTTGCACATTTTATAAATGGCAGGGAACTGACGGAGATGCAGACTGGGTCTTGGCTAGAGATGGAGTTGAGTTTCCCTCCCGCTGTGCAGAAACTAGTTTTATCATGACCTAGAGGCCTCATATTCCCCAAAGACTCATTAAACTTTAGACAGTTCTTCACGACTGCAGGCCCCTGGCCTCCATTGTCTTAGAGCAATACTTTTTGAAATGTAATTGAAATCTATAATTGCAGATTCTTTCTCTGCCCGTTTGAAATGTATACAAGCCTTCTTAAACTTTTCTTGCCTGTTTTAGGGTCCAGGGAATGTCTTTCCCAAGGGCCCGGGCCCATCTCTTTGAATGTAATCCTCCTGGAAAATCCTTCCCCCACGTCTCAGTCTCTGAGGGAGGGCAAGAGCCTAACTTGGTGAGTCCCTTTACAACCAAGTTGTAAAAGTACCTCCTGTCAGGATTTTATCAGAAAGTTTTACTTCACATTTGAGTAAGGCTGTTAAGCAAACACAAGTGCCTGCAATGCCCTCTACCTGCTATTAAAATCTATGAGCCTTTCGTTTCAGGGTTTGAGTTTGGTCTCTCTCCACTATTGCAGTGGTCTTGAATAAAGTCTGGTGCAGTTTTCACTTGGACATTACCACCTGAAATTAGCTGATTCTGGCATCTTGCACACAGTGTCAATCCTCACCACATTTTCAAATCCTCTAATTTCTTTCCTTATCTGGCTACAATCCTCCAAATGAATATTTCCAATTTTTCTCCCTCCCTTCTGACTTGAAATCCACAGGAGGAGATGACCTGACTGCCCAGAACCTTCTCGGGTCCCAGGTTGCCTCCTACCTGGCCTTTGACCCCAGAATGTGAGAAGCCATGTAAGCTGAAGTCCAACATCTTCACAGAGACATGGAAGGTGCCCCCACAGAGGCCCTGACCCCAACAGTGTTCTCATTCCACACACATTTTCACCTCACCTTCAGGGAACAAGATCACAGATTTTTAAACTATTCTGTCGTAAAACCCAACCACTCCAGTGCACAAGCACGTCCCCACCATGTCAGCCACCCACATGCCCGCACAGGACCACCCTGTCCAGAGCTCTCTCTAGCCTCGGGCTCAGGCCAGGCATCTTTGTCCTCATTTCTTGGCTTTCTTTGTTGTTTTCACAATCTCCACGTGCCAATTTTAAGGAGAGTCCATAAATGGAACCTGGGAAATGGTAAATAGAATCTGTCCTCTGGTTCTCTGTCATTTTGCTCCTTTTGGTCTCTGGGTTATTTGGCTGAATCCTTGGAGACCTGGCAGTGAGGTGGAGTGTGGGTAAGCAGAGGTGGGCATTGAAGGGGGGCAGAGAGGGATGGGGAACACCCGGAGTCTGGATGAGGAATAGTAAATCCTGGGTGGGGTTTCAGGGTGTCAGGCATGATTTGGGATCTAGTGGGGACACGTGGGAGGGCTCTTTTTGGGAGGACCCCAGGCTGGGGCTGAGAATTCTGAGTGAGCAGCTGACACCCTGTTGAGGGAGGAGCAACTGGAGCTGGTGCGGTGAAGATGGGGCGCCATCCTTCCAGACTTGGATGACGTGAGGGGTGAGACATATGACTGGGGAAAAGGAAAGAATCTGGAAGACTAAGATTAGTGCTCTGACACTGGGGACTCAGGGGAGCACCAGATGTATAGGCTGAAGGGGACATGGGACAGGGACAAAAGGGAGAGTGAAATGAGCATCCCTTGGGGGCTAAGAGTCTGGAGAGCCATGAAGGCTTGGAGGACAGAGGACACCATGAACACAGAAGACCTGAGCTGAGGGCATGTGGGGAATCAAGTCAAGAAAGGAATTTGAGCGTGAGATATTCAGACTAGAAAAGGGATCTGGGATGGTGCCTGGCAGAATGTGGGGAATGCAGGCTAGGTGTGGCAGTGAGGACCAAATTGAGGACCAGAGTTTTCCAGTCTCCAGCTCTGACCAGTTGAGACATGTGCAGGTTTCTCTCAAAGCCTGGAGCACTGTAGAAAAGCCAGATCTCACCCTTGTACCCTCAGACCTACTTCAGCTGAGTCAGCAAGTGAATCATGTCCCCAAGGAATTTGTGTGTGAGTGAGGAAGCCTGAATAGGAGCCTGGGGACAGGCAGGGGAGGGCAAATGTAGTGGTGGGGATTGGGGGCAGAATGAAGTTGGAGGGTGTGGAGCCTTTTCCTCCTTTGTTGACTAGTCAGAGTGAACTGCCCATGAGTGCACAGGTGAGAGCTGTGTGACAGGTGTCAGAGAGGAGTGGTAGGTGCTATGACAGTCTGGGCACCTGTCCTCCTCTTATCTAGGATGTACCACTTCCATTTGTAATGCTTCTCCTCTCCCCACCTGACCTTACTTTGGTGGGTGTGATAGAACCCAGGTCATGATGAGGAGTTCTGGTTCCCTTGCCACGTTCTGTCCCATGTTTAGAAACTCTGTCTGTCCTGTGACCCAGGAGCAGGTCAGGAGCTGTTTTTCTATTGCTGCAGAAGGCATGGCCTTGCTCAGAACCCTAAGTGTCTGCATGGAACTCTCTCATTAAGTCCTGCCAGAGGCTCCGCAAAGCACCTTTCATCCTTCTTACATGAGTCAGATGGAGGTACAGGTGCAGGAGCTTGTCCTTTCCTCTGGAGGGTGTGTCCAGCATGCCCCAGACTATTGGAGCCCTAACATCTTCACAGTGGTACCAGTTCCCTGAATGGTCCCAGATGTGGATGGCCCTACAGCCCATGGAACTCTCATACTTTGCTACATGTGTTGATTACTAGAGCTGATCTAATCACTGATGTCATTGTCAACACTGATGTCATTGTCTTTGATTATCAATATCAGCAGGCATCCACTTCTACCCTTTGGAGCACATGTGTCTTACTAAGGCTTTCAGAATTCTTGCTATTTGTTTTCATCATTACCAGGAAAGCTTCTAGTCCTCACCATTCAGCACAATAGTAGCTGTAGGTCTGTAGGTTTTCTATGATTTGAGTTTGGCAAAGAATTGACTTGGAGGATGAAAATATCCATTTGTTTTGCTAGGCAGGGCCGGCTTCATGGTCTGGTAATCTGTGCAGTCACTTAGAAGGGCCTGTGGTAGGGTAAGTGTTCTTTATGGCATCTTGAAATTTTTCATGATTTTTGAACAAAGATACCTAATTTTCACTTTACATTGAGTCCTGCAATTTATGTAGCTGGGCTGCCCCTGGGAGTGAATATGGTGTGATGGGCTCCCTTTGGGAAAAAAAGTTTAATCCTATTGGGAGGTGCAGTTTGAAATTTGGCCACCAGGTGGCATACTGCTACAGGGTAACCTGGCGGGTTGTGAAGAGAGATGTGGAGGAGTTTGGCTTTTCTACTCTATTCTTGTCATTCTAAGTCCATAACTGCGCCCCACACAAAACCTCTGTAGCTCACAGAGGGAAGGTTCTCCGGACCTGATATACTTCAGAGATTCAAATTTTCTACTCCACTATCCAAGAGGGACAAAAGAAATCACAGCTGATTGGCTCACATGCGATAGCAAAAAATAGACGATTAAGTCCACAGTGAATCTTGGTCATAGGAAAACACTGGAGAGATGGGGATGTGAAGGGGGTGTGTGATGGTGATGGGGAAGAAAGGAGCTGAGTCCTCATCTTCCAAGAGGGAAGAGTTTACATAATGCCTGAAAGTGAAAATCAGTCAGTAGCCTCAGAGCATGTTATTCAGAGATGACTCTGGTTCTGTCCAGAGGAGCTGCTGCTGTGTGGGGCAGATCTCCTCCGTGTGGCCCAGACAGGAGAAGCCAGGGCCTTCCTGTGATCAGTCTGAACAGGACACAGAGACACAGGGCTCAGCATGGCCAAGTCCACCATTGTCACAAATAGCAGACAGAGAACATCGAACATGAGGGAGCCTGGACTGGTTTTTCTCGCAGTGTGAATATCAGGAATAGAATAATAATTTCATTTTTCTGGCTGCAGTAGGCTGTACAACAAGTTAAATCTCTTTGGGGTTGTAGGTCATTCACTACAAAACAATATGCCCCCTCTGAAGAAGTCTTACACACCTGATTAAGATTCTTCCAAGAATCTGAAAACTATTCAGTCTTTTTCTTAGAACATATAATGGGGACTGATTTGTTCGCTGTTTGTTTTATTGACATCGGGAGCATAGAATTGAAAAATTGTTGTCCTTGGTTCATGACCCAGAATCATCACCAGTCCATAAATGGCATGCTTTCCTTTTTTAAGAGAACCATTACTTATTTAACTTAATTTTATTTTTACTTATATATTTGGAATCAAGTTCTAATTACAGCTTCCTGAATTTCTCCAAGGGCAGGACTGGAGGTCTGGATCACTAAGGAAGCTCTCTCTACTTCCTGGATGGAAAAGCTGAGAAATAAAGACCCTGTGCTGCTGCCACAGCCCCTCTGCAGTCTCTGCGTAGAGACAAGCCTGGGCCCCACTGGCTCCACAGCCCTGAGTTCTGGGAGAAACTCCACCTGCACCTCACGAGGAGCGCTTCCCTCTTCCACAGCATGAGCCTGCTGTCAGAGATCCCGGGAGCTGCTGTCTTCAGCTTCTGAAGCTTTCATGTGTTTTTGGAGGTGGTTGGAGGACAATGAGTTAGGTCAATCTGGGGTGTCTGTCTGGGACGTATGGGGACCTCCAACATAACATGTCCACGACCAAGACCTTTTTTCCGCCACCTCCCAACCTGATCCTCCCAGAGTCTTCCTCTTCTCAATCAAGGTCAACTCCATCTTTCCAGGGGCTCAGGAGGGAAATCTTGGTGTTATCCTTGAGGCCTCTGTGCTCTCACACTAATCTCTAATCCACATGCAAACCCTGCCACCCATCTGCAAGATATATGTAGAATCCAATGACTCAGGTCCAAGCCACCACCACTCCTACGTGGGTTATTGTAATAGTCTCCTAACTGGTCTTCCTACTGCCTCCTTGTCCGCCTTCCCTTATAGCTGTCTCCTCAGATTAGGATCTCTCAATCCTCAGAGGTGAATTCTTTTAAAGCACAAATCAGGTCATCTTTTCTCTGCTCAAAGCCCTCTCATTGCTCACATTTCTTTCATTTTTTTAAAAAATTTTTCATTTATTGCAGTAACATTGGTTTATAACATTGTATAAATTTCAGGTGTACATCATTATACTTCTATTTCTGCATAGATTACATCATGTTCACCACCCAAATACTAATTACAACCCATCACCACACACATGTGCCTAATTATCCCTTTCGCCCTCCTCCCTTCCCCCTTCCCCTCTGGTAACCATCAATACAATCTCTGTCTCTTTGTGTTCATTTATTGCTGTTATTATCTACTACTTAATGAGTGAGATCATATGGTATTTGACCTTCTCCCTCTGACTTATTTCACTCAGCGTAATACCCTCAATGTCCATCCACGTTGTCACAAATGGCTGGATTTCATCGTTTCTTATGGCTGAGTAGTATTCCATTGTGTATGTATACCACATCTTCTTTATCGATTCGTCCCTTGATGGGCACTTAGGTGGCTTCCAAGTCTTGGCTATTGTGAATAACGCTGCAATGAACACAGGGGTGCATGTATTTTTACTCATTTTCAAGTTGAAAACATTACGTGTTTTCAAGTTTTTTTGATAAATACCCAGCAGTGGAATAGCTGGATCGTATGGTAGTTCTATCCTTAATTTTTTGAGGAATCTCCATACTGTTTTCCACAGTGGCTGCACAAGTTTGCACTCCCACCAGCAGTGTATGAGACTTCCCTTCTCTCCACATCATCTCCAACACTTGTTTCCTGTCATCTTAATTAGAGCCATTCTGATGGGCGTGACGTGATATCTCATTGTAGTTTTGATTTGCATTTC